TTAAAGGTGAGATATGCTATGCTAACCGCTACATCAAAGACATGACATTTTTGTCTTGTACGCATCAAAAATGCAAAAATGATATAATCATTCAAGTAATTACCCATATGTCATTTAGTTGTTTTTTTTCCTCATGAAAAACTCGAGTGCTGTTTTCCTCATTACAAAACACATTCTGAACATTTTTCTCAAGGCGACACTGTATGAATGAATCTTGAATTGACGGATGTTCGGAAAGCCACAGTCCCCCGTAATGGCGCCCACCCAAACGAAATCGAATCAACCTGCCTTAGAGCCCACTTGCAAAATAACAAAAAAAAATGGAGTTGGCCCACTCTGGTTGTCATTGAATGCTTCCGACACGCCGGGAGAGTTCTGTGATTGATAACGCAAGGGTGGTGCCGCCCCCTGGAGGCCACGCCCCTTGCGAGGGAGGAGCTGAGTGAGCTCAGCCTCCCTGGGAGCGGCGAGGAGGCAGGAAGGCTCCTCCGCCCGCATGGCGACCACACATGCGAGCGAGCGCTGGCGCGGGATGACCCGAGCGGGGTGATGAAGATGAGGAGGGTGATGAAGATGAGGGCGAGGAGCATTTGAGTGTGGAAGCAGGGAGCGGAGTCCCTCCATTGAGGAGGCTACAAGTCACTCACTTGAAACGTAAAAATGGCTCACAAGCTCTCGGGTGAGTTGACGCCGCGTTTATTTGGCTTTTGTCAAATCGTAAATTGGTTTGCAACTCTTAAGTCGAACACGTTTTTGTCGTCGCGACACACCAGAGGGATGACAAAAGAGCAACAAATACGCCGCGCATCTTATTTTGGAGAAGCGTGACTTTTCATTTCCTCAAAGTGATGGCGTACGATGGCCTCATGACTCCGTCTTCATGATCTCCAGCAACTTTTCCCGTCCTTTCTCGTGCTTTTGCAGCTCGCAAGCAGGAGATCATCAAGATGACGGAGCAGCTCATCGAAGCCGTCAACAACGGCGACTTCGAAGCCTACGCGTGTGTTCCACAAGCGACATTGCATGCTCGGCATGAGTTGTGGTTTTTGCGTGCCGCGTGTTCAGCGTGTTGTTGTGTCACCCCTGATGCTGCTGCCGCGTTACCATGGCTGGGGTTGATGTGAGGAAGTTAGTGGGCGGGACCGAACGGGACCAGTCATGGCTGCGAGTTAGTCGAAAAAGCCCTTTGCCACTTTTTTGTGTTTCCTGCAGAGCAACAGCAGCAGCAGGAACAACAACAACACAAACAAAGTCACCAACTCGGTTACATCTGCTGCACTGGTACGCCCTGTGCGTGTGTGAGAGTGTGTGGCAGAAGAGAGATAAGGAGACTGTGTGTGTGTGTTTGTGTGTGTGTGTTTGTATGCATGCATGCGTGTGTTTTTGGGGGACACTGCCCTTGAGTTTTTTTGGGGGGGTGTTGCAAATGGTTCCTACACATCCCATCTTTTGTGTCAATCATTGATTTGAACATTTGAGCGGCAGTTCGCTCATGTGACGAGTCACTATACAGTCACCTTGTGCTCATTAGCATTAGCATGACTAATCAATGCTTCTTCCTCATCCAAATTAATCTTTCACAAATTTCTCCCTCTTTCCAATTCATCACAACACTCCACTGCTCATCCTCATCTTCTTCCTCTTCTTCCCCTTTTCATCCTTATCTTGTTCCTGGTCATCGTTCCTTCAGGAGCCTCAGACTACCGTAATCCATAATCCGGTAGATGGGATCAAGGTACTGCATTTTCCCGCTATGTCGTAGTCGCCGCTTGCCACTTTTTTTTTGTGTGTCTGCGAGGACTTTTTTTCAGGATCTCTGCCCTGCCTTCCTCGCTCGCTTGCCCGCTGTGTCGTGATTTGGGGAGACTTTGTCGTTGTGCACTCGTGTGTGGGTGTGTTTGGGGGGCGTTCTTGTCCTCGTTAACGTGTGTGTTGCTTGCAGGAATCGTCAGACAGCAGTAACACAACAATCGAAGATGAAGATGTGAAAGGTGAGAGATGCTATGCTAACCGCTACATCAAAGACATGACATTTTTGTCTTGTACGCATCAAAAATGCAAAAATGATATAATCATTCAAGTAATTACCCATATGTCATTTAGTTGTTTTTTTTCCTCATGAAAAACTCGAGTGCTGTTTTCCTCATTACAAAACACATTCTGAACATTTTTCTCAAGGCGACACTGTATGAATGAATCTTGAATTGACAGACATGTTCGGAAAGCCACAGTCCCCCGTAATGGCGCCCACCCAAACGAAATCGAATCAACCTGCCTTAGAGCCCACTTGCAAAATAACAAAAAAAAATGGAGTTGGCCCACTCTGGTTGTCATTGAATGCTTCCGACACGCCGGGAGAGTTCTGTGATTGATAACGCAAGGGTGGTGCCGCCCCCTGGAGGCCACGCCCCTTGCGAGGGAGGAGCTGAGTGAGCTCAGCCTCCCTGGGAGCGGCGAGGAGGCAGGAAGGCTCCTCCGCCCGCATGGCGACCACACATGCGAGCGAGCGCTGGCGCGGGATGACCCGAGCGGGGTGATGAAGATGAGGAGGGTGATGAAGATGAGGGCGAGGAGCATTTGAGTGTGGAAGCAGGGAGCGGAGTCCCTCCATTGAGGAGGCTACAAGTCACTCACTTGAAACGTAAAAATGGCTCACAAGCTCTCGGGTGAGTTGACGCCGCGTTTATTTGGCTTTTGTCAAATTGTAAATTGGTTTGCAACTCTTAAGTCGAACACATTTTTGTCGTCGCGACACACCAGAGGGATGACAAAAGAGCAACAAATACGCCGCGCATCTTATTTTGGAGAAGCGTGACTTTTCATTTCCTCAAAGTGATGGCGTACGATGGCCTCATGACTCCGTCTTCATGATCTCCAGCAACTTTTCCCGTCGCGCGGGAGTTCGGGGATTGACGGGTGGGGGTGGGGGGGGAGGCGGGGGTCGATCGGGGGAGGGGGATTGGAGCACCATTAGCGCAGAAGCATTAGCGGGATTGACGTGCAAATGTATTTGTCCTCAGAAGATTAAGGAGTAATTACAGGCCGGCTTTGTGAATGTGTGCCCGTTCTTTGTGTCGCGTTCAAAGTCACACAAATCCCCACAAAGTCACGTCAAAATGTGAAAGGTGAACATTGGAATGCATCAAAAGACACCAACAGATGGAAACGTATTATTTCGAGTGGCGTCCTACTTGTTTGCGACGACCTTATTAGACTGAGCTTTTTATTTGCGGCCATGTTGATGCTGCTGCTGCTGCTGCTGCTGTTCTTCATTTTCTGGATTATTTGTGTGTGTGTGTCTACAGGAAGATTTGCGACCCTGGCCTGACATCCTTCGAGCCCGAGGGCCTCGGCAACCTGGTGGAGGGGATGGACTTCCACCGCTTCTACTTTGACAACTGTGAGAAGAAAACAGCTACATTCGGACAAACACAGCTGTGCCCTTTTGTAACCACAGCCGTAACTCCCAAACACAACTCCTCCTGATTTGACCACAGAATGCAACACAACTACCATAACAATCGGACACCACTTCCACCATCCAAACACATCTTACGCTTGGAACATCAGACACAACAACCGTAACAATTAAACAAGAATTGTAAAAATCAAATAACAATAACCAAATACAATGAGAACAACAATCAGCAATGACACATAACAATCATACAACAGTCATAACAATCAAGCACGATGAACATAATGAAACATCAGTTTTGTAAAAGTCAAACACAACCGTCATGACAGTGAAACACAACTTTGACTTTGACAAACGTGACAGTCAAACAAAAAAAAATAGGCTTGTAACATTCATGACAACGATCAAACAGTTAAACATAACAATCGCAACCACCAAACACGACAATCATAAGAACCAAATGCAAAAATCTGAACAATCAAACGGAACGATCATAGCGATCAAATACAACAAGAATCGCAGCGATCGAACAAAATGATCATAGCAATGAAACAGCACTTATCCAACTCAAACACAGCAACCATAACAATCAAACGCAGTGATCAGAACGATCATAAAAATGAAACATAACTAGCATCACAATTTCTACTTTAACAAACATACTCAAACACGAATTATCCGAGTAACATTTTTTTTTTTTTTTTTCCCGTGAGCCACAGCGTTCCAAATTGTTCCACAAGCGACATTGCATGCTCGGCATGAGTTGTGGTTTTTGCGTGCCGCGTGTTCAGCGTGTTGTTGTGTCACCCCTGATGCTGCTGCCGCGTTACCATGGCTGGGGTTGATGTGAGGAAGTTAGTGGGCGGGACCGAACGGGACCAGTCATGGCTGCGAGTTAGTCGAAAAAGCCCTTTGCCACTTTTTTGTGTTTCCTGCAGAGCAACAGCAGCAGCAGGAACAACAACAACACAAACAAAGTCACCAACTCGGTTACATCTGCTGCACTGGTACGCCCTGTGCGTGTGTGAGAGTGTGTGGCAGAAGAGAGATAAGGAGACTGTGTGTGTGTGTTTGTGTGTGTGTGTTTGTATGCATGCATGCGTGTGTTTTTGGGGGACACTGCCCTTGAGTTTTTTTGGGGGGGTGTTGCAAATGGTTCCTACACATCCCATCTTTTGTGTCAATCATTGATTTGAACATTTGAGCGGCAGTTCGCTCATGTGACGAGTCACTATACAGTCACCTTGTGCTCATTAGCATTAGCATGACTAATCAATGCTTCTTCCTCATCCAAATTAATCTTTCACAAATTTCTCCCTCTTTCCAATTCATCACAACACTCCACTGCTCATCCTCATCTTCTTCCTCTTCTTCCCCTTTTCATCCTTATCTTGTTCCTGGTCATCGTTCCTTCAGGAGCCTCAGACTACCGTAATCCATAATCCGGTAGATGGGATCAAGGTACTGCATTTTCCCGCTATGTCGTAGTCGCCGCTTGCCACTTTTTTTTTGTGTGTCTGCGAGGACTTTTTTTCAGGATCTCTGCCCTGCCTTCCTCGCTCGCTTGCCCGCTGTGTCGTGATTTGGGGAGACTTTGTCGTTGTGCACTCGTGTGTGGGTGTGTTTGGGGGGCGTTCTTGTCCTCGTTAACGTGTGTGTTGCTTGCAGGAATCGTCAGACAGCAGTAACACAACAATCGAAGATGAAGATGTGAAAGGTGAGAGATGCTATGCTAACCGCTACATCAAAGACATGACATTTTTGTCTTATACACATCAAAAATGGTATAATCATTCACGTACAAAGTAATTACCCATATGTCATTTAGTTGTTTTTTTTCCTCATGAAAAACTCGAGTGCTGTTTTCCTCATTACAAAACACATTCTGAACATTTTTCTCAAGGCGACACTGTATGAATGAATCTTGAATTGACAGACATGTTCGGAAAGCCACAGTCCCCCGTAATGGCGCCCACCCAAACGAAATCGAATCAACCTGCCTTAGAGCCCACTTGCAAAATAACAAAAAAAAATGGAGTTGGCCCACTCTGGTTGTCATTGAATGCTTCCGACACGCCGGGAGAGTTCTGTGATTGATAACGCAAGGGTGGTGCCGCCCCCTGGAGGCCACGCCCCTTGCGAGGGAGGAGCTGAGTGAGCTCAGCCTCCCTGGGAGCGGCGAGGAGGCAGGAAGGCTCCTCCGCCCGCATGGCGACCACACATGCGAGCGAGCGCTGGCGCGGGATGACCCGAGCGGGGTGATGAAGATGAGGAGGGTGATGAAGATGAGGGCGAGGAGCATTTGAGTGTGGAAGCAGGGAGCGGAGTCCCTCCATGGAGGAGGCTACAAGTCACTCACTTGAAACGTAAAAATGGCTCACAAGCTCTCGGGTGAGTTGACGCCGCGTTTATTTGGCTTTTGTCAAATTGTAAATTGGTTTGCAACTCTTAAGTCGAACACATTTTTGTCGTCGCGACACACCAGAGGGATGACAAAAGAGCAACAAATACGCCGCGCATCTTATTTTGGAGAAGCGTGACTTTTCATTTCCTCAAAGTGATGGCGTACGATGGCCTCATGACTCCGTCTTCATGATCTCCAGCAACTTTTCCCGTCGTGAATGTGTGCCCGTTCTTTGTGTCGCGTTCAAAGTCACACAAATCCCCACAAAGTCACGTCAAAATGTGAAAGGTGAACATTGGAATGCATCAAAAGACACCAACAGATGGAAACGTATTATTTCGAGTGGCGTCCTACTTGTTTGCGACGACCTTATTAGACTGAGCTTTTTATTTGCGGCCATGTTGATGCTGCTGCTGCTGCTGCTGCTGTTCTTCATTTTCTGGATTATTTGTGTGTGTGTGTCTACAGGAAGATTTGCGACCCTGGCCTGACATCCTTCGAGCCCGAGGGCCTCGGCAACCTGGTGGAGGGGATGGACTTCCACCGCTTCTACTTTGACAACTGTGAGAAGAAAACAGCTACATTCGGACAAACACAGCTGTGCCCTTTTGTAACCACAGCCGTAACTCCCAAACACAACTCCTCCTGATTTGACCACAGAATGCAACACAACTACCATAACAATCGGACACCACTTCCACCATCCAAACACATCTTACGCTTGGAACATCAGACACAACAACCGTAACAATTAAACAAGAATTGTAAAAATCAAATAACAATAACCAAATACAATGAGAACAACAATCAGCAATGACACATAACAATCATACAACAGTCATAACAATCAAGCACGATGAACATAATGAAACATCAGTTTTGTAAAAGTCAAACACAACCGTCATGACAGTGAAACACAACTTTGACTTTGACAAACGTGACAGTCAAACAAAAAAAAATAGGCTTGTAACATTCATGACAACGATCAAACAGTTAAACATAACAATCGCAACCACCAAACACGACAATCATAAGAACCAAATGCAAAAATCTGAACAATCAAACGGAACGATCATAGCGATCAAATACAACAAGAATCGCAGCGATCGAACAAAATGATCATAGCAATGAAACAGCACTTATCCAACTCAAACACAGCAACCATAACAATCAAACGCAGTGATCAGAACGATCATAAAAATGAAACATAACTAGCATCACAATTTCTACTTTAACAAACATACTCAAACACGAATTATCCGAGTAACATCCACCACAATCGAAACAATCGCAGCTCTCATCACCATCAACGAAACGAACGATAGTTCCTCCGAAGCATAACAATCCGGCGCCTCTGCCAACAGTGCTGTCAAAGAACGTGAAGCCCATCCACACGACCATCCTCAACCCGCACGTTCACATGATGGGCGAAGACGCAGCCTGCATGGCGTATATCCGCCTGACGCAGTTTGTGGACGCCGGCGGGCGCCCGCGCT